GTTGGTCCCTGCCTGGCGCTCAGCATTAATGGGTAAAACAAGGACTGGTCGGCTCGGAGTCAGTATAATGTGTCTGAGTGGGGTATTCATGCTTCACTGCGGCATGGTATCTCAGTGAGCTTAGCACGATAAAACCAACTTTAGTCTGGGCTAGTACAAGCAGCTACACATACACATGCATGCACATCGTCATATGAGCAAAATAATCTTAATTATGAAGTTTCACCTCACATCACTTACTTTGCAAATATTTTCTGTAAAAACATCTTGTGAATGATTTGATTTTGAATCACATCAGCATATGTAATCTGGACCTGTTGTTATATTTGATTTTGAATCACATCAGCATATGTAATCTGGACCTGTTGTTATATTGGAGTTTGAATCACATCAGCATATGTAATCTGGACCTGTTGTTATATTGGAGTTTTATTGCATTCCTACTGTACAGAAACACAGTTTTCTGTGAAAAAGCTCGTATGACATTGCTAAGATTTCAGGTTGTCTGCATCATTACAACTGATGTGAACAATATTGACAAAAATGAAACAACACCCATGTATATATTATATATATTCATGTATATTTATGTATATTTATGTTTACTGACACTCTAAATCTTTTCTTTAAATGTGAGTATTATGACAAAGATGCCTTGACATTTCTGCTTAATATCTATTTTTTTAGAAATGTTAGGATTTTTTAACCTTCATAAGTGTTACTATATTTTTTCAAGTGTTCATATCTGTTATTTGTTTGACATACAAGCAGTAAATGTAATGCATGTGATACCCCTACGGTGAGTGTGATGGCTCCTTATCATTTTGACATGCAGAGATCACCTTGACATGTCATACTCAGGGGCTGCTTTCCATTTCCTTGTTAACCCTTTCAAGTGTTACAACCTGTCAGACCCACATCCACCAACGGTTAGAATTCACTTGCACAGGGTTGTCTGGAAAACCTGGACATTTCACACCCCATCATCCAGTCTTGGAAAAATCATGGAATTTGAAAAAAATGGATGAAATCATGGAATAATCCTGGGTTTTTTATCTAACAAAACTGTGTAAATTAACAGTACTACAAGGGCTATGGCATCCATCTACATGTGTATCCAAAGATAGTTAAAAAGAGTAAAAGGAAAATTGCTACACTTGATGTTTCATTTTTATTTTGGGGTGGTGGGGTAGCCTAGTGTTTAAAGTATCCATCGAAGGCCCGGGTTCGATTCCCCACATGGGTACAATGTGTGAAGCCCGTTTCTGGAGTCCCCTGCGGTGATATTGCTGGAATATTGCTACAAGCAGCGTAAAACCCAACGCATTCACTCATTTTTATTATGTCATCTGATCATAATGAGGTTAGAATGGACAGCTGTAAAGGGAGATGGGAGGCTGTATTTAAGATATTGTTTTATTTCAGACAATAATATATGTTTAAAGGTATCAAAATACCCTAGGACATATATTGTTGTGTCTGAAAAAAGCAATATTTGTCTTGAAAAATCATGGCATTCTTTTTCACAAAAATGTGGACCCCCTGTTGTATCTTAACCAGTCCACTAGATGGTCTACTACAGACCTGCTTAATCCATCAAATAGTGACAATACTAGTCCAGAAGGCCATGTCACCATTTCTTCCAGAACTTAACTGGTTTTGAATTTGTGGAACCTGAATGACTAGCTCATCTATGATGATGATAATGATTTGGAGATTTAACATGGGCTTTCCGACATAATGCATATTTCGCACACAGGCCTGCCTGTCCGCCTTTAGTGTTTGATAAAAAAAATGGGTGTTTGACCGTAAGATAAGGCAACCTGAAGTTAGTCAGAGGTACAAATAAGCTGCGTATCTGGGTAAATTAGGCAACTATTTATGTGAAAACTCAATTCCTATTAAGTATATTGCGAACAACTACGCTTGAATTTTTGTAAATACTCAATAAATGTGTTCTTACATGCATACACGCAAAAATTTCAAGTCTTAACTTGCGTACCGGTGGATAGATAAAATAACTGAGGTATACTGAGAGGTTCTATTTAAGCACATAAACTTGGCAACTTGCGGTCGTTCTTATCGTTTCTCATATTACAGATCAAATATAAATAACAAACACTAATATTTAAACTTTATTATATTTTTACAATTAATGAAAAATGGCAAAATACCCTATTGAGTTTGAGTGAAGTGAGTACTATTTATTTGGTTACTCAAAGGAAAATTAGGATACCCAATTGAGATAAACACAAGCAGGTACATAACTCAATGACCCAAACAATTATCTGTAGCTTTGGTTAGTGTTGTATAATTAAATTTCAATGAAATTTGAATTTGGAAATTTGTTAGAAGTTGTAGTTGGGATGAACCATAGGATGGTTTAGTTGGTTTTGTTTTGTTTTTGTATTATGTTAGCACTGTGATCAAGTTATGTTAGTTAGTTATGTAGGATTATAAGCAACCTAAAAGGCCAGGTTTGATTTTTTTTTTAAATTGATGATGTTAGCTATTGCAATTTAGTTGACCTCTTGGAGTGAGTGTGACAGTTGATCTCTAATGTAGTGAATGTATCATGGAATAATGAATTTTGTATGAATTATTATTCCATGGTAAATGTGACAGTTAAGGTGTACTGAATGTGACACTTGACTTGTAGTGAGTATGACAATTGACCTGTACTGAATGTGACAGTTGACCTACTGTACTCCTGTGGTGGCGTATGGTCCTGTGCATAGAGCTCAGGTCACAAATCAGTTGAAGTTAAGCAACGTTGATTCCTTGGATGGGTGTCCAAGTTTGGCAGCTTGACTCCTGAGAGTTTCTAGGACTTCAGTCCTGCCCCACAACGAAACACATGTGGTCTTACCTTAGGCAAGTGAGTTTGTTCAAAATTGCCTCTGTTCACCCAGTAGAAAATGGGTACCTGGTGAGATAAGTCATATGACTATAACCTTCTAGCGCCTTACAGGCAGCTTGGGTTATCCGGGGTGATGTTGTGCTGTTTGTACAGGCTTTGAGCATGCCCCTTTGTGGTGTGGAGTATTGTGCGGTATAAGTACTCTCATTATTATTATTATTAATGTGACACTTGACCTGTAGTACATGTGACAGTTGACCTCTTGTACTGAATGTGACAGTTGACCTCCTGTACTGAATGTGACAGTTGAAATCCTGTACTGAATGTGACAGTTGAAATCCTGTACTGAATGTGACAGTTGACCTCCTCTACTGAATGTGACAGTTGACCTCTTGTACTGAATGTGACAGTTGACCTCTTGTACTGAATGTGACAGTTGACCTCCTGTACTGAATGTGACAGTTGACCTCCTGTACTGAATGTGACAGTTGACCTCCTGTACTGAATGTGACAGTTGACCTCCTGTACTGAATGTGACAGTTGACCTGTACTGAATGTGACAGTTGACCTGTACTGAATGTGACAGTTGACCTCCTGTACTGAATGTGACAGTTGACCTCCTGTACTGAATGTGACAGTTGACCTCCTGTACTGAATGTGACAGTTGACCTCCTGTACTGAATGTGACAGTTGACCTCCTGTACTGAATGTGACAGTTGACCTCTTGTACTGAATGTGACGGTTGACCTCTTGTATTGAATGTGACGGTTGACCTCTTGTATTGAATGTGACGGTTGACCTCTTGTACTGAATGTGACGGTTGACCTCCTGTACTGAATGTGACAGTTGAAATTCTGTACTGAATGTGACAGTTGACCTCCTGTACTGAATGTGACAGTTGACCTCCTGTACTGAATGTGACAGTTGACCTCCTGTACTGAATGTGACAGTTGATCTCCTGTACTGAATGTGACAGTTGACCTCTTGTACTGAATGTGACAGTTGAGCTGTACTGAATGTGACAGCTGGTCTCCTATCTTAAATGTGACAGTTGACCTCCTGTACTAAATGTGACACTTGACCTCCTGAACTGAATGTAACAGTTGACCTCCTGTTCTGAATGTGACAGTTGACCTCCTGTACTGAATGTGACAGTTGACTTGTAGTAAATGTGACACTTGACCTGTATTACCTGTGACAGTTGACCTCTTGTACTGAATGTGACAGTTGACTTGTTGTACATGTGACAGTTGACCTCTTGTAATGAATGTGACATTTGACTTGTAGTACATGTGACAGTTGACCTCTTGTAATGAATGTGACAGTTGACTTGTAGTACATGTGACAGTTGACCTGCATTACCTGTGACAGTTGACCTATAATCCGCCTGTGAGTACAATGTGACAGTTGACCTGTATTACATGTGACAGTTGACCTCTTGTACTAGATGTTACAGTTGGCTTGTAGTAAATGTGACAGTTGACCTGTATTACATGTGACAGTTGACTTATAATCCGCCCGTGGGTACCTGACATCTGATTGTTTGTTATCAATTACATCAAGCACCTGATTTAGTGATTCCAGGGCAAATATTTTTTACAGTCCCATTTCAATGCATAAACTGTTCATAGTGTATTTCTGTGAATTGAATATGGCTTTAGCCTCCTATCCTCTGCTGGTAAGGGGTTAACAGCTTGGTAGCTATTACACACAATTTGCTTGTTTACAAAAGAAATAATGCCACAAGGGAGATATGCATGCAGTGGAAAATATAGTATCACATTAAGTGTAAGTACTTCATGAATGTGTTTCGTGAGAGAAAATTTATGCTGAGCAAGGTTGTTAAGAAATCTTGAACATTTCACGTGCATGTTTTAGTGTTTTTAAATCTTGCCAGTGTTATATTGTATTAATCTCCAGAGTAGCAACTGCTGTGTGTTATTCAGTATGTACCATTTTGAACTGACATGCCACACATCCCTTGCCCTCCCGCTCACATAATGGCTTATTGCTCTTTCTGATTAGCTGACAAATTATCAATCAGTCATTATAAAGGTGTTGCTGCTTTCAGTGTGAGAACAATGGTATCTTATGATCTTGTCACATATGTGTGTATCTAAACTAAAGCTGTTCCTTGCAGGTTGCAGACATAAGTGTCACGCCCTTGTCTTCCGGTGGGATTGACCAGTGTCCAGCTGTCCTGATGACCAAGCCAGCCCTTGGTGAATATGACAGTGTGTCCAACACTGGGCAGGGTCTCTGTAGCCATCAGTGTGGCAAAGTGTATATGGGTGGGAGTGACCATTGTCCAGATGTGCGACTGTCCAGTTCTGGCCTGGGTAAATGTGACGGTATGTCCAGCACTGAGCAAGGTCCCTGTAGCCCAGAGTGTGGCAATGTGTACATCAGTGGTACTAGAGCTGGGGATGATTCATCGGTGAAGGCAGGAGTGAGTCATCACCCACTAAACAACACCGGCAGCAGCAGCAGCAGCGGCGGCAGTGGCCACTGTGTCAGAGCCGGCACCCTCCTTCCTCCTTCTCTCCCAGCATCCAGTAGTATAGTCGTCTCTCACACCACCCAGCCACACACACCTGGTCATGAGAACAGTTGCCACCAGCACTCCCTGCAGCCGTCACGGTCGTCGGCGCTGGTGCACCCAGGTGCAACTGTTGTGGGTACCGTCGGTGTTGACGCTGCACAGCCCCGGCCGGCAATGATTGACATTGGCACCACATTGGCACCACACCCCGGCGATGTCAGTTGTCAGCGCCCGTTACAGGTAAAAAACATCGTCAATAACTCAACAGTAACCATCATCACAGGTGTTGATTGGTATTGATTGCATGTCATTGAACTGTGATTGTTGACAACCCTGCTGATACCTTGAACAACTGTACTGACACTTGTCTTTTTTGTGCCACTGTTTTCAACCTCCTGCTGACATCCACTTGTTTTGTGTAGATGATTATTGAATGGTTGCTGGGCATTATTGTTGCAGCAGTCCAGCCTTGTGAAGATTGTAATCGTTCTGCAGCCTCTATTTGTTTAGTCAGGCTGAGAGGGGGTAATCACTTCATTTATTGAAATGAAGGATAGATGACGTTTTATCATGAATATAGGATTGCGTCAGGCATTACGCGCGAGAAGGGGGCAGCGTGTTATGTTGATTGTTTTTGGAGTTAAATACAACTACTGAGTAGCCTCTGTAGAGCTTGCGATGCATGAGCAGAGCTGGTTAAACATTTCATTGGGAAGAGATGTCCCTGATGAAAAGTACTGTATATGACTTTAAGTTTAACAGCAGTGAGATGTGTCAATACAATGGGGTTTTTATTTTCTTTCTTCAAAAACATTTAGAAATGGTTAATTTTCATGTTCATTAATAAAAACAAAATAAAACATTTGCAGAAGCACTTAAATCATTCATTTGATGTATGCTTTTTTTCTAAATGGATAATGAATGGATTTTGATGGCAGTAGGGTTAAATAAGCCTATTGTTTTTTGTGTCAGCTCAACTTTTATCTCGCAGAACACTGAATACTACATTTTGACAGCAACAAAACTTTCTGAAAGAACATTGCAGGGAGAGATCTGACAACAATTTGCACAAATAGTTAACACAAGTATGTTGTAATCATTGACAACATGCTCTGCACAAGGAGTCAGGATTTCCTGCCCTGTGGACGATCTACTTGCTCAGTATGACATGTAAACAATTATCAAGTTAGCTTATTAAACTGAAATAATTTTCAGTTGAAATTGTAACTGAAATTGAAATTGAAAATTGCATTTCCATGCACAAAGGCACTGTGTTGGTTCTGGATTTATGTAGTTATAGTTTACATTGACGGGCTACTGAGGGTAGGGAATGGGAAGTTTTCCATACATGCTCGCGTTAGTGTCGTGGATGCTGGTGAAAGAATTCATTCATGTTTACTATTTTCTCAAATGTGCTGAAACTGTAAGTGTTGATCATAACCATGAAGCAAGCAAATAGATTTGACTTTGTTTAAGGTGTCGTGTCTGACGATCAATTACTAGCAGAAACTTTGGTGAAATGGTTAACACATATTGTCCTTTTATTATCATTGTTGGTGGGCAGGTAGAATGCAGAGAACTTTTAATATGCATGCGTCACATTGGATCAGATATATAGAGGGAAAAATATAAGGGATCTCATGAAAGCAGAAGTGTTCCTTTATTTTGTTCCAGGTTTCTTCACAAGCTGTGCGATACAAATCTTATGAAGAAATCTGGAATAAAATAAAGGAGCACTTGTGCTTTCATGTGATCCCCTATTTTTCCCCGTCAGTATATGATTGATAATTATGATGTAAATTTATATCAAATTGATGAGGCCACATACACTGTTTAAGTCTAAATGGTGTTTTTCATGTAAATGTCAATAGATATGGATCTAAATTTCATAAAGTGTCACCATATCACTCCATGATTTCTGTGTCAGCTGATTATTAATTAATACAAATGAGGTAAACTGACACCTGGACTTAACTGAGCCTTTAGATTGTCTCAAAGTTCATATTTGCTTACATTTCAATTTGAATATTTATAGTTAACAAAGCCTGTTCCATCTGATCAGCAGAATTCCAATAGCTGGAATTCTCATTACAATATAACTGATTCATATTTTTGCATGTCTTATTATGATTTAAAATGTTATGATCTGAATGTTCTGGAAAGGAAACTAAGATTAGAAATTCTTAACATTTCAGCTGAATATTTGACATTGTATTTCAGTATCGATCGGTTAAAATGAATTTTACACATAAGTATGGCATTAAATCTTTAGTATCGATACATGTAATTCTGATGATGATGATGATGATGATGATGATGAGATTAACTGCAATTTAACTTGTCTCTAAAAGTCAAAGATTTTTTGCGAGTTGGTAAAACTTCAGTGTGAGATATTTTTTGCCTTTACTTTTCCAAGTAAGAAACTGTTCTGATACTGGCTGCTTCCCTGTTTGTTAAATATCCTATATCAGACAATAAAATAACTTGTATTGGCAAGCACTCTTGTTTTAGAGACATTTATTGAGAACAAGAACATTTTTAATATGAAAACAATGTTATGATATAGCTTAATAATACTTAAAACACAAACTAGTCTAACCTTATGTAAAAGTTAGCCAAGTTTGTAATGTTAAACCATGCCAGTGTTCTCGGTGACATTTTATTGATGTTGATTTGTTTTCAATCTTGACCATTATCCGAACATGGGCATGATATTGTCATTACCCTTGAACACTTACAATGAAGACAAACATTAGTAGCAACAACTGCTATTGTAACTTACTAAATCATCCAGATGATGGCTGGAGAACTAGAACTAATGGAAGCAGATTCACACTGGAAATTGTAAATACAATCAATTATAATTGTTTTAGTGCTGATTAGCGTAAAATAAAAACAATTTAAGATTAGGGCTTAAAGGCTTAATGGGACCTAATCTTCATTCATAGCCATATTTGATAATTACAGGTATGGAAGTCTCACTGATCAAAATAATATGATACTGTTAACTGCATTCTACATATGTGACATTGTTTTAAGTATACTGGCATTGTTTTTATCAGGTTTTAGATATACTGAAAGCTTGTGAACTAAGAAGTAGTGGAATTACATCAAATTTGCCATGAAACAAGTGGAATCCCTCATAACAGCTTTTGATATACTTCACTGAATATTTATTTAATCAGTAAGGTACAAAAACTGTAGACAGTGGTATTGAAATCACAGACATCATTCAGCGCTGTAATGAAAACACACAACCAGTGCACTCTGTTATCAGCCAGTCAGGAAACAATACTCCGCTGTGGGCATGGTGTAATGTTTTTAGTTTGTGGAAGCAGAAATGTAAAAGTTATTGCCATCAAATGACATGGAATTACTTGCAATTTGTTATTATTACTTTCCAGTCCAGAACAGGTTGAGATGAACATTTAAAGGTCAGATTTTTTCAGGTCTTTTCCTTTATATATCTAAAGAAAAGTTAAGAAAGCGAAAACTGACAGAATTTTAGCTAAATAATGGCGGGCCGGCCATACAGTTGATGGGGTCATGACAGGGTTATTAATATTACATTGTTTTAAAAAGGAACGCTAGGTTTGAGACAAATAGCAGTCGAAGCATAATTCAAGTCCTCTAAATTCCACTTTTTAGTCGTTAAATCAAATTCATTATGTATATCAATCTAGAAATGAGTAAATATTTGAGTCCTTACATTGGAAAGATCACAATAAGGCAAAAACTCGCCATGATTTGACCTGTGAGTGAGTGAGTGAGTTTAGTTTTATGCTACACTCAGCAATATTCCAGTTATATGGCGGCGGTCTGTAAATAATCAAGTCTGGACCAGACAATCCAATAATCAACAGCATGACCATCGATCTACGCAATTGGGATACGATGACAGCCATGTCAACCAAGTCAGCGAGCCTGACCACCCGATCCTGTTAGTTGCCTCTTACGACAAGCATGGGTTACTGAACACCAATTCTAAACAGGATCTTCATGGGTAGATTTGACCTGTGGGGCTTGACAATGGGTCAACATGTTTACAGTTGATAGTTCAGCTTTGATGATAGATCACCAATTAATTCTCTGAAAGTCTAATATTAGCAACCAAACTTTATGGCCATATGAGTGTGTCACGATTATCATGTTTACCGGACTAGGGGTTCCAGTCCAAACCATATATCACATGAGAGAGCTGTAAGATAACAGGAATTCAAGTGAGATCGCTGTCTAGTGTGGGGGCACAGCAGCTCCTCATGGAAAAGAGGCTGTTTTGTTCTATGTCTTGTGTTAACTCTCGTGGGTGTCTAGGCTTGGTTCAACTATTTCAGATTAGATCAGTCAAATACACTAGAATAGTTCAAAAGAAGCATGTATTTGTAACGGTATGAAATTAAACGGACATATTCTTGCTATTTTGAGCGTTTGAACAGATAAGCTGTAAGTAACAAGCATCTTAGATTTCCATGACATTTGTAGCAATCAGTGACTTGCCTATATTCTTGGTCCAAACAGGAACATTTTCTCATTGTTATGTATTTTTAACATGCTGGAATTTGCACTTTTTGTCTTGTTTTCAAGCAAAACACTGTTTCATTCAGGTCCTCAACTGCCTACTTAATCTTTTATCTCTACATTTTGCAAGACAGCTTGAAACAAACATTTAAAAATATTTTTAGATTACTTTATTCAGAATTGAAGGCCATGTGGCCAAGAATACAACAGGTAAAAATATCTAAAATATCTAGAGATGTATCTGTAATCTTGTGAATGATTGTGATAATCACAGCTATCAGGTAATTAGCATCTGCTAAAAGAATAGAAAACAGGAGTGTCAAAAGTCTACCTGTAATGACTGACATGGAACTACCTTTCTGTGAAAATTAGCCTTGTCTGTGATCAGCTGTTTCAATCTGAGGTGTTTATTGGGATATGACTGAATTGTGTGTATCAACCTTTTTCCAGGGTAGAATGTGCAATATTCAATAACCCACTAGAAAAGTATATTGTGGTTCCAAACTGAAATATTACTCTACTCTACAGTTAGACTATATCACATTTCAAAACACAGCAGGTTTATCTCCTTAATGTACCATAAAACTGTATGTCAAATTTGAAATCTTAGTTGACTGTCATTTACAAGATATGAAGCTGTGAAACTGTGCCAAGTGATATCTTATTTTTTAATGCTCTTAGCACAAACAATTTGTTCAGGTCTGAGAGTGATCTCCAACTCT